GGGCGCGGTTCGCCGTCCCAGGCCAATGAGGGCTGTGGGAAGCGGCGAGGGCGAGGGATGTGCTGGCCGCGGCTTCCCGCCGCCCCCATTGGCCCAGGACGGCGAACCGCGGCCAGGGGGGCCGCAATCGGCCGAACCTGCCGCGTCAGCAGGTAAATAAACTGGCCCGGCCCGCCAGGGTGCTTACCCTGGCAAGCCGCGTGCCAAACGTTGCCGACCCCTGGTATACAGTTTTATTCAATGGCTTTCAGCACCCCCACTATAAAAATTGTTCCAGTACCACTGCATGTAGCTACATGCCGCAGTGAAGGGCAGGTTGTGTCCACACTCACTGTGGTGTTTAGCTACATGTGGAAGTGAAAGTCTCCAGCAGAGAGCTGCTGGCATGTAAAGAGCTGTGCGGAGTATATACTCTAGCGTTCAGGCATGTAGGGCCTTCTGCTCTACTCAACCATGCCTCATTGTCTACACTGCTATTTTATACCCATGCTAATTGGGCATTCTGTGTCTACTCTACACAATACCTAAGCGTAGAGCTACCCTTAGCTATTACTTAAGTAAAAGAAATGTGAAACTCTAGGCAGTGTTACTGTTCTTGTTTAAATTACACATAAGGCCAATACATTGCTGACCAGTCCTGACTATTTTTCCTTTTTACTTACTAATATTAGGTTTGCACATTAATTATTGTTGATAAAGTCTATGAGTCTATTGAGACTAACATTTTTAACTGAAGCATACAGTAGTTACATTCATTTTCAGGTTTCCAAACTGTTGAAGATCGGACTTGTAGTTAAGGAGGCTTTTTGAGTAGATGGTCTTTCATGGTGTTAAATTTATCTAAAATAAAAGTTCCCTTTTTAACTAGCACAAATCTGTAGAATGCATATTAAGTTTGAGACACTGGATGTCTTTTAAAAGTTCTATTGCAATCTCACTACTCTGTATGATTTTCTTAATAGCCCTCAGTTCTTCAACTAGTTTACTTTCCTGGATAACAAGCGTCTCATCACAATACTTATTACAGTATTAAATACTGTGATTCTAAAACAGTTTGTCTTGCAGAGGGCTCTCTTTATTTGAATGTTTGTTGTTTGTAAGCCAACCCATAGTAGAATTGTAGCCCTGCAGCACCATGTGGTGAAATGTTAATGTAACTCCAGAGAAAAGCAGAATGAAATTTTAGAACTCTGTTTTTGAGACAAAAATTGTAATATTTACAAAAACTAAGTACAACATTGTTAAAGACAATAGAAATTAAGCTACCAAAAATGTCATATTTGGTATCCCTTCGCATACTGTTCTTAAAGCTGAATCTGCCAGAGAAATGGCAGCATATAGGGCTATCCTTGGGGAAAGCCTTTCTAATACAGGTTATTACGCTTGGGTGTAAGCCTTTAAGCACTTGCCGAACTCAGTGTTAAACACATGCTTAAGTGCTTTGCTGAATTGGGATCTTAATATTAGTACATTCTGTCATGGTTGTAAACATGTTATATAGGAACTGAAAAATATAAATTAAAAGCTATTACTGTTGTGTTCTCTAACAACCTTATTGAAAGTAATGTGGCATATTGTTTCACATAAACACAGAATATCTTTGTCTTAACCTTTTACAAGTAATGTGAGTGCTTTCTATGTATTCTGAACAGATGCTTCTGTATAAAAGTCTTGTCATTCTTAATGAGGTAATTCAGACTTGTGTTTAATATGTAAATAAATACATGTGTATTTATTTCAGAGTACAGGTATCCAGAGAAATATTTATATGAGTATCTGAATAATGTCACTCGTGTTTCTAAATCAATAAGGAACCTAGGCTTCTAAAACAATGCATACAATGTTTATTCTCTTGTTCTTTGTATAGTTTATATCTCTAGTCTTATAGATTTTCTAAAAAGTCTGGTATTGTATGTAGTTGGCTTTGGCTGGGTTATATGAAGATGAAGTTAAAGGCAAGTTATCCCATTCTGACAGACCACCAGCTACAGTGGTCGGTAACCCAAGAGTACCAGTTCAGAGGTAAGAAGTGTTTTGTACATTAGGATTAGTAATTTATTTGACATCTGTAATATCTGTTTCAGTTTACTAACCCTGCTTTTGTCACAACATTCAGAAATTTGATCTCGAAGAGGTATTATATTCCAATGCTTGTTTAAAAAGCTATAACAACACAGAAGAGTAAAGTGGGGGACCCTATAATACTATGTTCACTCTGCTTCCTTAGGAAGTGTTTGTAGCATATATTTATTTATCGAGTAGTCTTCATTCTGCAACTGTTCCCAACCATTTTATGTTTCTGTTAAATGCTGGCAAAAGGCTTAAAATTAAATGCAGAAGTAGTTATGCTGTCACAGATTTGGACATATGACCTGTATTCTTTTGCGGGGAACAACTGTTAGGAGCAGGAGCAATTCACATGGAAGGCTATGCATAAGTGCCTCTTCTGGGTCAGGAAACCACAGTGCTCATGTCAACATGAGGACTGTGATCCATGACTGTTAAGCCCTATCCAAAATTATCCCTCAGCAGCATCTACCATAGGAGAATTGGCAAATATCCTCTAAGATTCTTCATGGGAACAAAGAACTTGGGTGGACAACATCTGTGTGGTAGAGGAATTTAATAGATTTTTCTCTGTTTTTCTGGCATGTTTAGGTGCATGTGGCCAACAAGAATTTGCTTTAAGTACTTAGGGTTCACATAACAGAATATATGGAGACTCATTATAGCATTCTCAAATAAATTTTTAAAAAAATCTTGCCAAGTTTAAATTAATGAAATACAAAACAACTGAACAGTAAGATGTGTTTGGTTTTTAAAAAAAACCAATCTATATGTGGCAAGTGACTGGGACATGATAAACCAAACACAAGGCTTGTGTGTCTTTCTAAAAAGACCCCATCCACACAGATGTATCAATGTGAATCTCATTTTTAAAAAAATGGGTATATACCAGCGGACATCTCCATGACTGATGACAAACCTACAGTCCATTTGTGCACATGGATCTCTGGAAAGATGAAATTCAGCCCAAGGCTGGATACTTGGGGGACAATAATAATTGTTTCTGGTTGAGATCACCAATCTACAGATATCACTATTAAAAAGCTGCTTGCCAATACATACCACAAAGTTATTATACTTACTTCCTATTCCATGTAGGGAATAGGTTGGTACTGAATCTTGAATTCTTCAGAATGGTATACGTTGGCAAACTCTAGCTCTTTATTGGCAATCATATACCATGACTCAGATGAATCTCTTTTGGAAAGAAAAGATGGCCCCTTATCACAATGTTAAATAATTCCTAATTTGGATAGATTGTAGTCTACATCAGTGTTTCTCAAACTGGGGCCGCTGCTTGTGCAGGGAAAGCCCCTGGCGGGCCAGGCCGGTTTGTTTACCTGCCCCGTCCACAGGTCCGGCCGATCGCCGCTCCCACTGGCCGCGGTTCGCCGCTCCCACTCGCCAGGAGCCGCTGGAAGCGCCGCGGGCCGAGGGACGTACTGGCTGCTCTTCCCGCAGCTCCCATTGTCCTGCAGCGGCGAACCAGCCAGTGGGAGCCGCGATCAGCCGGACCTGTGGATGAGGCAAGTAAACAAACCAGTCCAGCCCGCCAGGGGCTTTCCCTATACAAGCAGCAGCCCCGGTTTGAGAAACACTGGTCTACATCAATTGTCAAAGTTCCATTGAAGTCAGTGGAGCTATGGCAGTGTGCACCAGTGGTGGACTATCCCATGGATGTGAAGCTAGTGCAGTGGTTCTGATTCTCTATTTCAAAGTATCTGTTAAATTCATTTTAAATGTTTACTATAAACCTTTGCAATGTTGGCTTTAAGAATATTTTTGAATCCATGTAATAAACAGAAAGGAATAGGGGAAACTACTGCTTGTAAGCTCTTTGGGAGCAGTGACTGTCTTTTTGGTCTGTGTACAGCACCTATCACAATGGGGTCCGGGTTCATGACTGGGGCTCCTAGCACTTTGGTAATATAAATAAATAATAATAATGCTGGTTGGTCCCATTGCAGGTTCAAGTATTACAAAGCCAGTTTTCAAATATAATTGAAGGTTAAGGGCCAGATTCTGCAACCCTTATTCACACTGAATGTTACCTACTGATGTTAGTGAGGCCACTTGTGGAGTAAATTGTCATTCAGCATGCATAAGGGCACTGCTGTATGGCCCTAAATGAGCTGCCCTCCATTCTTTCCTTGCTACATGGTGAATATTTGGAACTGTTTACTGTGGCCGAAAGAACATATGCCGTTACAGTATGTCAGCAATTTAGAATTATTTTATAAAATACTTAAACAGTTTGCCTGAATGGCTGTTGGAGCCCATCAGGTCAGAACTTTTGAGAGACCTTATTTTCGCTCTTTTTTTTTTTTTAAGTATATAAAAAACTAACCATTTTACATAGTCATAAGTGTGAAGTGCTTGTTAAAGTGGATATATTATGCAGTGTATATATCAGTAATGTTTTTAATAAAACTGATTTTTTTAAAATATTTTTTGACAGTCTAAAAATTGACTCCTTCAGAAGCTTGAGAAAACCAGAAAGAAGCATGAGTGATGACAAAGAAAACCAAAGGTACTGTAAAAACAGAAGCTTATTTATCTATAACAATTATGAATAGAATATTAATCTAGATTTTATTTTTTTTTCATTCATACATTTTTTTTCCTTTCTTCTTTCTTCATAATGGTGTTGATCTTAGTCTTTGCTCTAAGTGGTAACATAAGGGCTGTTGTGTGACTCATTAGAGGGAAATGATGACATGAGGTATGGAAGATAGCCTTTCCTATTTAAAATAAAATGCTTTGTCCAATTTTCAAACTATAATCTGAATCTTCCTGAACTGTAAGATTCCATTCTTAATCTCCTTGGTTTTACATGTAATATTTATTTTAACATACCCCTGCCCCCGTAAAATATTGCTCTTGATAATCCATAATGCTCAGGCCAAATTTAGGAAAATAAATTTTAGAATTAAATCAAATTTATATTTACAAAATATGTAACATAATTATATATTTCTTAGATTTTATTTCTGGACTGAAATGAATATGAGATAGAGGTATTAAAATGTGCTAGTAGCTCTTCCAAATATGCTTATTTTTTACCTCAGCATTACTGTCCATTATGTTTGGTAAGCAACTCTAGCACCTTTTATATAAATAGTTTGGTTTTTGGTTCATAGTCAGATTTACACAGGTGCATACAGGGCCAGCTCCAGGCACCAGCTAAGGAAGCAGGTGCTTGGGGCGGCCAATACAAAGGGGTGGCACTCCGTCTGCTATTGGGGCGGCCCATCCGGGTCTTTGGCGGCGGGTCCGTCAGTCCCTCTTTCTCTTTGAGCTGCTGCCGAAGTGCCGTTGTTTTTTTTGTTTTTGTTTTGTTTTGTTTTTTCCGCCGCTTGGGGCGGCAGAAAACCTGGATCCAGCCCTGGGTGCATATTGAGTAATTTTCCTCTAGAATAATCTAACTCAAATATTTTCTAATGAATCTTTTCCCCTCTTCTCTGTGTTTGTGTTCTTGTTTCACAGCTTAACTTTGTTGGATACAAATCGGACATCAGGAATAGTAACATACAAAAGCCAGTAGGAGAAAATGTCCATTTCCCTGGACGTTCTATAATAGATTTAAAAGTAGCCATACTTGAACAAAAAAACTTCAAAAACAGACTTCAAAAAGAAAATGCAGAACTAAAATTCATTTGCAAATTTAACACCATTAATTTGGGCTTGAACAGGGACTGGGAGTGGCTGGCTCACTACAAAAGCAACTTTCCCTCTCCTGACATTGACACCTCCTCATCAATTATTGGGAGTGGACTACATCCACCCTGATTGGCCCTGTCAACACTGATTCTCCACTTGTTAGGTAACTCCCGTCTCTTCATGTGTCAGTATAATAATGCCTGCATCTGTAATTTTCACTCCATGCATCTGAAGAAGTGGGTTTTTTACCCATGAAAGCTTATGCCCAAATAAATCTGTTAGTCTTTAAGGTGCCACCAGACTCCTCGTTGTTTTTGTGGATACAGACTAACATGGCTACCCTGTGATATTTGTGTTCCTTTGTTACCTTCATTTGTGTGAATCTTGTATTTAATATGAAAGGTAACACTTAATCCTTAAACTGCTAGCAATAAGTTAATATCTTGTTAGAACAATCACCTCCACTTCATCACATCACCCTTAGTTTATAGACATCAGTGTTGAGATAGCAGAATCAGTTTTATTCTAGTAAGCAGCAGATTGACTTGTTTTATCCTGAATCAACTCACCTTGCCTCCTATACTTAAATAGTATACCCAAAGAGAATCGGAAGCATTCGGCATTTTATTGGCTGTTTAAAATCAAATCAAATAGAACATAAATCAAAGATGCTACAGCTTGCCAGTATGTCATATCTATCTATCTAAATTTGGATAGCATCCATCACCATGGTGTCTAAACATACATTAGCCACTAGCACTTCTAGTCTCTTAATCTTACTCTCCGACATGTATATAACTTCTGATTACAGATAATAAAACTACTAAATAATACACTCTATGAAATGGATCTCATGCAATGGCTAGAAATTAGTCTAGTTTGAAAATAAACTAGATGTTTACTACTGTTTGTTTTATCCAATGGTTTTCTCTGAAGTTACTGCAGACACTAAAGTGCCTCAGAATATAAATTAATTGTTGTTAAAAAAGAACTAATATTGTTAGAAATGAGATCATAATTGACCATTAAGCCTAAGATCTCACTTTGGTGCTATTTTTAGTTGTTCTCCCAAATAGTTGTATGTTAATTCTACAAAGGTTGTGTTAATTGTGCATCTGATTTTCAAATGCATCTGCATTTGATCAGACCAGCTATAGTCTCATGCACAGAACCTCCCAGTGGAGATTATTCTTTGGAATCCACACAAGATAAGGCATGTAAAGTCACAGCTATGTCAGGACTGTGTTCGCTATAACACATAACCTAACTTCTAGGAACCTCTATACCTTTGTAGTTCCACTACTGTAACAATTCTTTTAGTAGTGCTTCTTTGTGTATTGGGAAAACCAGAACTGGGTGGAATGCGTCTGTGATCAAAGTGAAGAGGTTTTGTGCCAGAATTTGGCTCCATTTGTTTACTAAGCTTTTTTATTGAAAAATGGGTGTCCATCAATTACTTCAGAAGGATCATCACTGATGAACCTTATTGTTTAAAGATTTTACTCAGGTGACTCAGAATATAGCGGACTACAGATTGTTGGGCCTTCTAATAAGAATCCCAGTAAAATTGTTGGTGAACTTTTCAAAGAGGCGAAAGAACATGGGGCAGTTCCACTGGATGAAGCCGCAAGAGCCTCAGGTGATTTTAGTAAAGCTAAAGTAAGTATAAAAAAGATAGTTTAGTAAAAACCAAATGAATTAGTTATTTCTGCCTACAGGGCTTATTGTCTTGTAAATTATATTACTAATGCTTGCAAATATTCAATTTTCAATCTTAACATTTCATAGTCCACTGACTGTTTAGCATGGTTATAATTTCTAACTACCTAATTTGCTAATTAGAAGGCATATCAATTAGAACATTGTGTGTTTGTGTTAACTAAAGAAGCAGGCTTGTTCACATTTCAATTTATATGCTTGCACCCCATTAAATATCTTTGTAAATTGTTTCACGTATCTATTCAGGCTGTTTAATTTTTTTTAATTAACTTTCTTTTAAATATTTTATCAGTCATTTTCAGGTGGTGGATACAGATTGGGTGACTCATCCCGGAAGCGCTCTGAATATATATATGGAGAAAATCAGAATGGGCAAGATGTAAGTAAAATGTTGAATAGCAGAAAATAGTGCTACACATCCTGCAATGTTTGAAGCCCAAGTTGTCAAGATAATGTTTTTATATAACCACAGTTTTGTTTATAATGAATAGCTATAGAGCCATGTAATGTACATTTTAAGAATAATTTCTTAAAGCCAAAGGGTCTACATGGACAAAAATACATAGATTATGAAGTGCAAAGCCTCTTCTGGTAGAGGAAAGAGGTGTTTGGCAAAGAAGTTGGCTGACTGGGTCCAGTGTTGTGAAAAGAAAGGGTTGTATTGCTGTGAGTGCTCTGTGACTCTAATATGAGTTGCAAAGTGCTCCTTTCGAATTAAACGCTTAATTTTGTGATGAGGTGCCTACCATATTTAAAAGCTCTATAGGCATTAGTTGTGTTGATTCAGCCCTATTAAGCATCTCACAACAATTCATAACTTGCAATTTTGTGCGTTGTCTTTATTCCCTGTGAAATAGAAAACTGAGTGTCATTAATAATAAGCTACTGGAATACTCACTAGCTAGATAAGATCCTTCTAAAGTTGATACTGTGTAGGAAGAAAATAAATATTATATTTGACTAATTTTAAGTCCAGTTTAGGGTGAAGAGAAAACAACCAGAAAGGTTTATAAAGCATAACCATTCTTTATAAAAGTGGCATCATAGTGTTCTGTGTTGTAGCTCAGCGATTTTTGTGTCAATTTATAGTTGGCAAGATGTCTTTTCCTGTCAGCCTTGCATATTATTTGCACACTGAGAGTCAAATAGGGTTCTTTCCATATCATGCATCATCACCAATAATAAATGTTCTGACATCCAAATTGGGCCCTCACCTACACCTGTGAAAGTGCTGGGCTCAGTATGACAAATTGAATAGAATAGAAGAGTTGTTTCCTGATTGCCATTGTTTTCAGCAGACTTGGATAGGTGTGACTGATAGGAGCTTAATAAACAACTTCGTTGATGCACAAGATGGAAAAAACATCAGCAGTAATTGAATCTTAGCTGAGCTTGGTCGACAGTACTAACAGGAGTAAAGAACAGGTAAAGCTTACTTTTGCCACCAAAGAGAGCAGACATGACTCTGAATATACACAGGGAATAGAATTGTGAACTAAGATGATGCCATTTTTATATAATCACTTTTCAGAATAAAACTACACTATAATATCATCAGTAAAACTAAATTAACACTAAAGTATCTTTCTCTCTCTGGTGCCCTTCAGGGTCCTGTGCTAGGTCATCTCCTCTTTGTCCTCTGTGCTCAAGATAGCTGAAATCCATGTGGCGCTAACACCTGTATGCAAATTATTTTACAAATCTAAGTCTCTGCCTCTAATCTTCATCCCTCTGTCCACCTCTTCACTATGTTTGATATACTTACATGAATGTCCTCCTGCCATCTCAAACTCATTTCCTCCAACCCTGAACTTTTCTCCTAATCTATCTTCATTTTCTTTTCTTAACACCATTGTCAACTCCACTACTCTCCCATATTTGTAACCTTGGTGTTATCTTTGACTTCTCCTGCTGTTTCCGCACCATAACTAGTGTTAAGTTCTGTCACTTCTTCCTTTCTAAGGGCTTGTCTACATATAAACAAAGTGTGTGAATGAACAGCACACTAGCCTGTTGCACACACTAAGTCCCTGTTTGGATCCTGCTACTTCATACCAACAGTTCTGAAACAGGTTGTATGAAACAGTAGTAAATCAAAGCGCACGACAGAACTTTTAGTGTACAGTAGCAGAGTCCTCATGGCCTGCTACCGTTCAGTGGGCTAGTGTGCTCTACAGTCACACCCTGGATTTCTGCACAAGTCCTGTGTTTGCAAGCCCTAAAAAAAACAAAATTCAACTATAGCCAGTGTTAAAACCCTTGTCTATGCTTTTGTCATATTCATCTTCCTTCCTGCAACCACTTCCTCTGTGGTCTTCGGAATTCTCACCTCTGCCTCCCTCCCATCTATCCAAAATAACATTGCTAAAGTCATCTTTATCTGCATCTACTCTGCCTTTATAATTGTCCCCTTCAGCCCTTTTGCTGGATTCTTTTCTTACTGCATCAGGTTTCTCATTCTTGCCTTTAAGGTTCTGTATAATTTTGCCCTATCCTTATCTCTACTTTTCTTTCTTCCTATGCTCTTGCATGCTCCTTTTCTGCACTATAATCATCACTCTCTGCTGCTCCCTCGTTCTCCTTTTCCTACTCTATGCCTCATCTTTTATGCTTTTCCCAAGCTTGGGAGAAATCTCTTGCTGCTTTTTGTAAATCCAGACTTCCACATATTTCTTCTGTTAACCCTGAAATGTTCTTACCAATTTTCCCTGGGAGTAAGTCACACTCTCTCACCCAGATATTTTCCTGAATTTTTTCCTCATCTGTTTTAGAATGCAACCTCTTCTGGGCAGGAACGTCTTCTTTTATGTTTTGTAAAGCATTGTATAATTGTTTAGTGTTCTATAAATGCTTAAGTAATCGCATCTTGGTTATTGCAACTTCCTTTCTCTCGCCTTGACAAGTGCAGTCTTGCCCTGCTTATTTCCACCAAGAATGCTTCTGCAAAGATCATTTTCCTAGCTCGTCACTTCGACCATGTAACCTTTCTCTTTGTATCTCTTCACTGCCTTCCTTCTTCTCTATTATATCAAATATAAACTACTTGTCTGCACTTTCAAGGCCTTTCATGACTATCCTCCTCCCTACCTGTCATCTCTCATTCAGTATTGAAAGGTTGACTTCTACCTCCAATAAATCCATGATGCTAGTCTCAAATCACCCACTTGTTAAATTTGCAGACAAGTACCTTCATGCTTTCTCTCATGCTGCCCATTGTGCCTTGGAGAAACTCCCTGTAAGCATCCACAAAACAAACTCATTATCCTATTTCGAATCTCTCTTTAAAATTCTCCTTTGCCCTGATGCCTACAGAAAATATGACAATGGTTAGGCTGCTGGGTATGCTGAGAATACACATCATACATACCTATCATGCTGACCAATATGTCTCATTGTTTCCTTGTACTCCCCGGTCAGTCTGTCTGTACCCATCTATTATCTCTTAGCTTATACTTGGATTGTAAGGTCTTGGGGGCAGGCAGGGTCTGTATTTTTGTTCGGTGTTTGTACAGTGTCTATCACAGTGGGGTCCTAGTCCATGACTTGGGGCTCCGAGGTGTTACAATAAAAATAACAATGATAAAGCTAGTTATGGGAATTAGTAACTGTAACTCTTGCTTTATTCCACAAGCGATTAGAATAGTAGAAGTAATCTGCAAGTGTATGTGTGCTAGGTCAATTTTAAACAAAAACAGTATTCGCTATTTTGAAAGCAGTTGCATCACCTGTTAAGCCTAGTACACTATTGTTGGCATATATTTTCTGTGTACCTTGTATTTTATCTATTAGCTATGTCACTGATAAAAGTCAAGGCTTATTGTGAAGTACAAGGTTGCCAATCTGTCGGCGGTCTCAGTACCACTAAGTTTGTAATTTCAACTGTAGCAACAGTGCAAATGTTACTAGAAGTCAATATCACTTTTTTGGGTGAATCTAAAAATGACAGTCCAAAATCTCTCTACAAAAGTGAACACGTTTTTATTTCTTTTGCCTTCTATCTTATGTTTCTGTGTTTTGCTACACAATGTGTTTTGTTTTAGATTCAGTACTCTAATGTTTGCCAATATGTACAAAGCTAACAAAAAAGATCAGATAATTGCTTAGGAATTTTTTTGTTTAGTTTTTTATTATACTTTCTTTGCTCAATAGGTTCAAATTTTGCTTAAACTGTGGAGGAATGGTTTCAGTTTAGATGATGGAGAGTTGAGAACTTACACAGACCCAACAAATGCTCAGTTTCTTGAGTCTGTTAAAAGAGGGTAAGTTATAATGTTGGTTATTTAGCTGACTATATCAGAGCAGTCAGGTGGAGAGAAGGGAAATAGTAATAAAACAGTGATGAGTATTAAAAAAGTATATAACCTTTCTGCAGTGTAAAGCAACTGAGTACTGAAACATTAAATAATCCTTCTACCAGAAACAAAATTAGGTTGATGGATGTTCCTGCAGAGATACAGACAGTGTACAGTAACTCCTCACTTAACGTAGTTATGTTCCTGAAAAATGCTACCTTAAGCGAAACGATGTTAAGCGAATCCAATTTCCCCATAAGAATTAATGTAAATGGGGGGGGGGTTAGGTTCCAGGGAAATGTTTTTCATGAGACAAAAACTATATTTTTATAT